ATTACAAATGAAACTTCAAGAAAGTTCTCATATTAATGTTTCTCAAACTTGAATGTTGTTCAGATCCCTTATAAGGGGAAAAGCTTCTTGAAGATCGCTAGAGTTGGCTTACTCTATTTTTTGTAATGTTGCATATCATGTATATGTATGCAAATATAAAACTAAGGAAAGACCTATTTATGGAGGTCATATACATTAATAAAACCAAAACAAATTTATAAATTAAGTACATACTACGAACAACACTACCAAATGAGAAAATTCAAATTTATAATATTAATATAAGGAATGGCATTTTGCTGAAATCAAACTGTCTCCTTTAACATGAATATTGTACTGATTGTAATAGATAAGACCCATTTAACCATATACATGTGATGATTCACCTCTCCAACTGACCTCTGTCAGTATATCACAATATATAACTCAGCTATAACTTGATGTAACCACGTCATTTATTTTTAAAATTCTTCTCTGTTTCTTTTCCTCATAAGTCTGTAACAATTCACTTAGTACTATTTGCCAATCACAAATCCAAACACAGGCAGTGAAATTGCATTCCCAGAATAACTATAAAGGGTTGATAAATTTATAAAGATATTCTACTCCACTGGTAATCCAATACAAATTAAAATGAGAGGCCATTTTATCTGTGAAATTGACAAACCTTTTTTTAAAAAAGATAAAACAAATGCTGGTGGATATGGGCCATGGGAACCCTTGAGTATTTCTAGTGAAAATAAAAACTGGCCTGACCTTTCTGGAAAGCAATTTAATAGTGGTAAGAATTAAGAGCTTTCAAAGTCTTTGAATCAGAAATTTCACATACAGGTTTCTAGCCTAAGGAAACAATTTTAAAATGTGGGCAAAGTTTTCTGTAAAAGGATATTCAGTAATAAGGCAATGCTCTTATTAACAGTGAAAACTAGGAACCCCTCTCAATGTCGAAAATGGTGGGATAATAAAATAAACATTATGATCAATAATTATGTAGTCATTACAAATAATATGTGTAAACAAAAATTTTAATGACACCAGATAGTGCTTAGTATGTAACAGTGTCGGGGGGGGGGGAGCAGGAAACAGGCTAAATTATATATCATATAAAATACTGTATATTGTAACAGAGAAAATTCCCTGAAAAGGGGTAAAAAGTGTTTTCTATCTCTTCAAAACTCCCTTACCCTTTTTGAGAACCACAAGCTGCATCCTTGCCTTAGGCCAGTGGTCAGGAGGGACAGGGGAGTGTCCTTTGTTCTTTGTGCGACAGGAGATGGCTCTGGGAGTTGTCCAGCGGAGGTCACAAGCTGGTTTAAGCCAAAGAGGGGATTAATCAGAACCATCCCCTTTGAAAGCATTGTACTTCTGCTCAGAAGGAGGACACTGATATTTTGTGACCAGAGTCCTCATTTATTGGCAAATTAGTAAACTATTCTTTCCTTTTCCTCACACCACTTGTGGACTCAGGGACAAGTGCTAAACTTTTGGTAACAATGTAACTATATATTCTATGTAGTTCTAGTATGTCAAAAAAGTAAATATACAAAGAAAAAGTCCCAATGGAAATAAGTTGAAATGATAAGTGCCCCTTTCTAGAAAGTGGATAATTTTTGCTTTTTAAAAATTTCTTGAATTTCCCAAGTTTTCTCTAATAAGCATAATATTTTTATTTTATAGTTAACACAAAGGAAAGCAATTGACACTATTTCCCTGTGAACAGAGGGCTGTTGATCTGCAGAGGCTTTAGAGGCAATGTGGACCATCCTGAAATACTTATTGTGAGCTGAAATCAGCTGCTCTGCATCATTCATGCACATAGGTCCTAGGGAACTTTCCAGAACTACCCAGAATAAGTCTATGAGTGTCCTACAGATATTTCAAAAAGGTCAGTTGGCCATCTTCCCACCTCTCACGTGATAAACCTGCTCCCCAACTCTGCCCATTTCCTTTCTGCCCAATACTTTCAACAGCTCCCTGTGACATGGTCTCACTACCCTTCTTACCATCTTCTGCATAGTCTCCTGTTCAATAGTTTTCCTCTAAAAAATATACTAGGAACCAAAGGCAGTTTTCCAGATTTCTAAAGCACAGCTATAATCAGGACACTTCTCTGTTCATGATCCTCTGAAGGCTCTTTCCAGAAGAGCAGACCTTTAGCCTAGCATTCAATTTCTGCCTGGATGTGGTCCCAGGTCTTCCAGCCTCATATGCTATCCTACCTCTAACACCGTCTATGCTGAAGTCTTTATATTATGGGATACTCTGTATCAACTTAGTAGCCAGCATTAAAAAAAAAAAAAAGAGGCGGGCATGGTGGCTCAAGTCCATAATCCTAGCACTCTGGGAGGCCCTGGTGGATAGATTGCTTGAGTTCTGGAGTTTGAGACCAACCTGAGCAAGAGCAAGACCCCATCTCTAAAACTAGCTGGGCCTTATGGCAGGCACAGCTGTAGTCCCAAGATTCCCAGTAAAGCTACTGCAAGTCCCAAGTAGGTAATAGTCCCAGCTACTGGGGAGGCTGAGGCAAGAGGATATCTTGAACCCAAGAATTTAAGGTTGCTGTGAGCTAAGATGATGCCACAGCACTCTACCCAGGGTGACAGAGTGTGACTCTGTCTCAAAAAGATTAGAATAGAACAGAAAATACCAAGTTGCATTGTACATACAATGCAATTACTGTTTCAGGACATATACACACACACACATACATACTGTGTGTATGTATATAATATGATAGGTCATGGCTGAAATATATTTCTTTTCTTTTTCTTTTTGAGACAGAGCCTCGCTTTTTTGCCCTCAGTAGAGTGCTGCGGCATCACAGCTCACAGCAACCTCAACTCTTGGGCTCAAGTGATTCTCTTGCCCCAGCCTCCCTAGTAGCTGGAACTACAGGTGCCCACTACAATGCTCGGCTATTTTTGTTGTTGTTGTTTAGCAGGCCCAGGCTGGGTTTGAACCCACCAGCCAGCCCCGGAGCATGTGGGACCACTAAGCTACAGGTGCCCAGCCTGAAATATATTTCTTATTGTGGGAGATGATTAAAGAAGTTTGAAAGCCACTGCCAATGCCTCAGCCGCATCAGTCCCCAAGTTTGCTTTGGACTAACTTTGATCCCTCTGTTCCCTCAGCTAGTATTCTCCCTGCTCTTGCCTACTGAAATCCTTCAAGGTCCTGATAAGATACCCGCTCTTGGCTCGGCGCCTATAGCTCAACCGGCTAAGGCGCCAGCCACGTACACCTAAGGTGGCGGGTTCGAATCCCCAGCCCGGACCCGCCAAAACAACGATGGCTGCAACCAAAAATAGCCGGGCGTTGTGGCGGGCACCTGTGGTCCCAGCACTTGGGAGGCGGAGGCAGGAGACTCGCTTGAGCCCAGGAGTTGGAGGTTGCTGTGAGCTGTAATGCCACGGCACTCTGCCCAGGGGGACAGCTTGAGGCTCTGTCTCAAAAAAAAAAAAAAAAAGATACCCGCTCTTCCCTGAAGTGTACCACCCTTTCTCTTCATCCGTGATTTTAAAATTGTGGCTCAAAGCCTTTCTTTATATTACTCAAAACAGCCTGGCCTGTTGTGATGTCCATATACAGAGGCCTTAGACAAAGAACACCTTAGGGCAGGCCTGTGTCTTACCCACCTCTGGGTCCTCCAAAGGACTAAAGTAGTGAAACTGGTTAATGCTCAATAAATATCTGCCAAACAGAATACTTTCTTCCAAGAGCACCTTCTGGGGTTCTTCTTCCTACTTTCCTAACCATACTCCAGTAGATCAGAGATCTCTGTCCTAGGGCCAATGTTATGATCACTCTAAGAGCCAGTCTGTAGGAAAGCTTTCATATTTCTTCAGGATCAATAAGATAAATAAACATATGTTTTTATCAATTTTAAAGATGTCTTCTTTATTTGAGAGTGCGGTGTGGCACCTGTGGCTCAGAGAGTAGGGCGCCAGCCCCATATAGCAAGGGTGGCAGGTTCAAACCTGGCCCCGATCAATAAAACTGCAACAACAAAAATAGCCGAGCTCGGGAGACTGAGGCAAGAGAATCCCCTAAGCCCAGGGTGATAAAGTGAGACTCTGTCTCAAAAAAATAAAAGTGTGGCACTCTCATGTTTTTGTTTTTAAGAGGTGTTTTGGAGGAAGCAATATTGACAATATGTCAGAAGATAATAGTTGGTTTTTAGCATATGCTTGCTTATTGTCTTTATTTGACAAAATAATAAACCGTCAATTCTGTGTTCGTCTTTCTTTAAAAAAAAAAAAAGGCTTAAAAATGTATTTTACTGGGCCATGCCTGTGGCTCAGGGAGTAGGGTGCAAGCCCCACATACTGGAGGTGGTGGGTTTAAACCCAGCCTCGGTCAAAAAAAGAAAAAATATATATATTTTACTGATTTCAAACTCCAAAAGCCAGGGAATCAACTGCCCTTTCTGGTCTGGTTGCAAATAGGTTCACTTTTTTAAAGGCCAGATGAACTCACGGGCTGAATTTATTAGAGGAATTCATAGGCTGGAAGAGACTTTCTCCTCTCTCCTAAAGGAGTGCTATTTAGGCTCGGCACCTGTGGCTTAAGCAGCTAAGGCGCCAGTCACGTACACCTGAGCTAGCGGGTTCAAATCCAGTCCCACCAAACAACAATGACGGCTGCAACCAAAAAACAGCTGGGCGTTGTGGCGGACGCCTGTAGTCCCTACTACTTGGCGGGCGGAGGCAGGAGAATCAGCTTGAGCCCAGAAGCTGGAGGTTGCTGTGAGCTGTGACGCCACAGCAGTCTACCTAGGGCAATAGCTTGAGGCTCTGTCTCCAAAAAAAAAAAAAAAAAAAGGAGTGCTATTTATTAGTCTGTGCTCCTCCTCTGACATCTCCACTCTCCAGGTCCTGATTTATCATCCATTTATTTACTCTAAGGGGTGAGATGGGCTATCACTTTAAGGGGCGGGTTTAGAGGCGCGGACCGCCCAGGAGGGAGGGAGGTGAGACGAGGAAAGCGGAAGTGTAGCCGCTAGTGGTAGCTACTGCGCGTGCGCGAGGTTAGAGCGGGGCGGGGGTGCGTCACGTGGGCCGGGGGTCCTGGACCGGAATGGCTGCTAGCTCCGGTAACGAATCTTCTGAATTCGTGGGGAAGTGACAGGACGAAGGGGCTGAACTAAGGGTGAGAGTAGAGCGCGCGCTAGGTCTCTGAGCCCCGGCCCCTTGCCCCACGCGACGGCGGCGCGATCTCTGGAGCTGACAGAGATCAGCTGTGACGCCGGCCGGGCGGTGTTTAGTTTGGGGTGGAGGGGCGTGTACTGCATGTGGCCCGGAACTGGGCCAGGTAGTTTCCACTTTTGGTTTCAAATGAATGTGAAACTGAGGGACAGGTGTGCCCGCTACCCACCGTTGTGAGACGAGGAGGCGGGTGACACTCGCTCCCCTACTTCCCGGGCGGAACAGGTGGGCAGCCCGCCTTTCCGGCCTTGGGAACAAGTACTGTAGACTCCGCCATTCTCCGAGGAGGATTAGATGGGGCGTCCACCTCTTAGGATTAGTGCTCAACCTTTGAGACTGGTTCCACTTTGTCTTCGCCTGCAAAGTGTGCCCCAGAATGAGGACAACCGCCTGAAAAGTGGCTCCTGTACTTTCATTAGTTCTCCAAAGCGCACTTGGGGAGGGAGGGAAGCGCTGCCTAGAGTGTTTGAGTGTACCAAATACGTGTGCTTCAAAGGGTAGGGTGGGATGAGGCAGGGTCAGTGAGAGGTTCCATGACCCGGGGTTATCAAGAACAACTGGGTGCCTTTTTTTTTTTTTTTAACTGGTCAGGCCCCCTCCATCTCCTCCACTCCTTATTAGAATGGACAGAAGTCTGTGTCCTCTGCTCTACTCACCCTCTACCACACTCTTCTCTCCCCTCTTTAAAAAGAAAGAAAAAAAACCCAGACTGAGCAAAACAAGCATGGATGTTAGCTTGTGATGTTAACCCTAGTCCAGATATCTGTGAGATAATTACGTTATTTGGCTGTGTGTGCGTGACAATGAGTGAGATATATCTAAATGGGGTTGGAGGAGCTCCACTTAACTTGTGTAAGACATGGTTAAATTGAAGCAGAGGATAGGTTTTGAATCTTCTCGTAATAGCTGGCCTGTTCCATGTAGTAAAAAGTGGGAAACATTTCTGGTCATGGTCAACCAGTCATAGTTACATGTGAGATAATTCTTTCCAGAGCTCTAACAGAATAATATGTTGATTTTTCTTAATGTATTTCCTTTGTATCTAGGTTATCATCAACAGATGGATGTTTTCTATTTTCCAGGGGACATTTTGGTGATTCTTAGTTATATCCTGCTGTTTTACAAACGTTTCAACCATTGTTTTGGTTTTTTTTTTTTTTTTTTGAGACAAAGTCTCACACTGTCCCCCTGGGTAGAGTACTGGGCATCATGGCTCACAACAGCCTCAAACTCTTGGGCTTAAGCAGTCTTCTTGCCTCAGCTGCTCAATAGCTGGGACTATAGGCACCTGCCTTAATGCACAGCACTAGTTTTTCTGTTTTTAGTAGAGATGGTCTTCCTCTTGTTTGGGCTGGTCTCAACTCCTGAGCTTAAGCAATCCACCTTTCTCAGCCTCCCAGAATCCTGGGATTACAGGCATGAGCCACCGTGCCCGGCCTATAACTATATATATATTTGTAGGATCAGTCTGTTCTGTTCTTAACTGTATCTTGAATTAATGTTTAGATTGTCTTCATTCTATGTAACACGTAAGTGCATTCTGTGTTTTAGCCAGGAACTACAGATTTATGTTAGATTTCTCTTTATTATGAATTACTTCTGGTAACAGTTGCACTTTTTTTAGTCAGGGTTCTCTCTATTGCAAGTGACAGAAACTCAGTTCAGGTGATCTTAAGTAGAGAGATTTATCAGCTCACAAACCTAGAAAGGGCAGGGATGTCTCTAACTTCAGGGACTCAATGATGTTCTTATCTCTTCCTTTATCTAAAGGACCACTGATTCCTCAGTTCCCTATCTCTGCTTCTCTAATTGCAAGCCTCATTCTGTCCTTATACAGTCATGCATTGCTTAGGGTATACATTCTGAGACAGTCATTTTTCTTGTCCTTTGAACAGCGTAGGAGACCAAGGCTATATGGTCTCCTATGTACCTAGGTAGCTAGCTATGTACCTAGGCTATATGGAATAGCCTATTTCTTGTAGTCTACACACTTGTACAGCGTGTTACTACACTGAATACTGTAGGCAACTGTAACACAATAATAAGTATTTGTGTATCTAAACCTAGAAAAGGTACGATAAAATTGCAGTTTAAAATATAAAAAATGGTACACCTTGACAGGGCACTTACTATACATGGAGCTTGTAGGACTGGAAGTTGCTGTGGGTAAATCAGTGAATGCGTGGTGAGTGAATATGAAGGTCTAGGACATTACTGTACATCAGGCTACACTAAATTTATCATTTTTTTCTTTCAATAGTAAATTAACCTTAGCTTACTGTCACTGTTTTACTTTATAAACTTCTTAATTTTTAAAAACTTCTTGACTCTGTAGCAATAACACTTGGCTTAAAATAGACATTATTGTACAGCTGTATAAAATATTTTCTTTATATCCTTATATTAACTTTTTCTCTGTTTACATTTTTTTTAAATTTTATTTTTAAGCTTTTTTTGGTAAAACTGATACACAAATACAAACATTAAATAGGCCACCACAGGGTCAGGATTATCAGTATTCTAGGGTCAAGTAAGCAGCCCATCCCAGTACATGGCACTGTCGTATCTCTTCCGCCTCCATATTTTGTTCCACAGGCAGGTCTTTAGGAGCAATAAGAGACGTGGAGCTGTCCTCTCCTGTGATATAGAGGTCTTCTCTTGGAATATCTCCTGAGGGACCTGCCTAAGGGTGTTTTACAGTTACCTTAAAAAAAAAAAATAAGTAGGAGGAGTGCACTGTAAAATAACAATAAAAAGTACATTATAGTATATACATAATCCAGTAACACAGTTGCTTATTATCATTATCCATTACTAGGTATTATACATAATTGTATGTGCTATATTTTTATTCTACTGGTAGTGAAGTAGGTTTGTTTACACCAGCATCACTACAAACATGTGAGTAATGCTCTGTGGTATGACATTATGTCAGCTATGTCAGTGATAGGAATTTTTCAGCTCCATTATATGTAATCTTCTGGAACCACCATTGTATATGTGGTACGTGGTTGACTGAAATAAGTGGTGCCTGACTGTGCATAAAAGACATGACTACGGATAGTTCATAAGTTACATCATTCAAGCTTAAGCAGCCCAGAGTGAAGAGAAAACTCCTTCCTCTAGTATTTACAATTCCAGGAAAGGACCGTGATTGGCTAGATTGTACACAAGAATGTCATGTGACTACTCTTCTGGAGGCAGATAGGTTTCTTGCTTGCCACTGCTGCCAAAATCATGTGGTTGGAGTGGAGTAGAAGCAGTATTGTAAAGCAAAGATGGTGATGGTGCTGGGTTGTTGTAACCTTTGTTTTTTCCTTTGCAGTTTAGCAAGAAGCTTCCAGTGTCCTCTTGCTCTTTCAAAAAAAAAAAAAAATCTCTTGTGACTCAACGACCTTCTTGACCAAACCCAACCAAGAGAAATTGAGATGACAGTTTAATTAATTGGAAATTAATAAAGAAGGCCATCATCTTAGCCTATAATTGAGTAGAATACTATCTTTTGTGTATTTAACCTATAAGAATCCACCTCCTACAGAGGGCCCACATAAGGCCCAGGTGCTTTTTATGAGGCGTTCTATGAGACTGGGGTGGATCTTTCAAGAGAGACTCATAGTAATAAAAACTTAAGGAACTATTCCTTCCCCCCACTGTTCTTTTTTAACATTTGTTGTTCTATATATACTTCCTAAGTTTAAATGATCACTCATTTCAATTAGGTATTTACCAAGAGAAACAGAGAGGTTTGGGTTTTTTCATTATGGCAGCCCCAAGCACTGTGGGTTATGTGAATTAGTTACATAATTGTGTTTATTCTTGGAAAGAAATTCTAGGGTCAAGTAAGCAGCCCATCCCAGTAGGTAGTACTGTCACATCTAACACAGGCTTTGTTTCTAAAGTCCATGAGTAAGGTGAAAATTGAGTATCCTCAAAGTACTCTAGAAAAGTACCCTTGGAGTCATATCAGAGGCTGACATATATGGTCTCTCAGGAAGTCCAACGTAGTTTTTGCTCCATGTTGGAACAGCACACTGTTGTTTTGAGCACCAGTGAAGTAGATTGCTTGTGTATGAGGCACAGAGGAACTGAGACTAACTGAAAGAAGAGAAACTGTCCGTCTCCTATTCCATGCTCACCGTGAAGCATACAGTGACCGAGTGGAATGGTTTGCAGAGTCTCTGGAACTATGTGAATCATTTTTTTCCTTTCCCTTTGCTGAAAATAGTTGAATTCTTGTAAATTGAATGGATATATTTCCACTGTTTGCATCTTGACCTGTAGGCTGAATTAATGTGAAAGAGCCTAAAACATCTGAGATTGTGGCATTTGTGTCATGTTATACGTGAACTAAATGACCATTTAAGTCAATCTTAGGTATTTGAAAAAAATGCAAAAAATGGAACTTGTTCAGGTGAGAGGTGCTTTGGAGCAGAGTGACTAGCCCTGTTTTCTATCAGATGACCAGAACTGCTATTTGAGGCTTTGGAAGCCAGTGATGCATCTTGTTTGACTGCTTACCTAGGGAGGGAGAGATGATTGATTAGCTACTGTATAATTAGGCACTGAGGATATAGTGATGAACGAGGTAGATTTGGCCTTTGTGCTCATGAAACCTGCATTCCAGTTAGAGGCAAGGAATGGTGTTTCAGGCAGTGAAGAAATGATTACAGGGTAATACAGTAATGAAAGAGGAGAATGATGTTATGGGTACATGTGAGCAGGGAACCTAACCTATTTGAGGAGGATAGAAAGGGCTTTTTTTTTTTTTTTTGAGACAGAGTTTGAAGCTGTCGCCCTGGGTAGAGTGCCGTGGCATCACAGCTTACAGCAACCTCAAACTCTTGGGCTCAAGTGATTCTCTTACCTCAGCCTCCCAAGTACCTGGGAC